TTTCAAGCAGTGGGGGATTTTTGAAAATTGAACCAAACCATAAATGTTACTACAAGTATAAGCGCTCTCCAAAACTTCATAGCATGTGTTCCATTTTGTCTAAAGTCTGACAAAAATCCAAATTTGCAAATGGCCGCATGAGTGCCTCAACAGAGATGACCCTCCCCAGAGCTTCCGGGAGCACAAATAATCTCCTGAACACACGCGCAACATATTGAGTAGTACTGTATCCGTCCCCAGGGACTTCATTAACAAGCAGACCCACAGACCGGATCTGCTGGCATAGGCCCATACTGGCACTATTCAGAGAGATGACCCCAGATATTTCATATGTCAATAATCATTTACAAACATACAGAAAAATAACGACACCCGTGTTTCTCACTGTCTCACTGGGTGTTGCAAATTAAACCAACAGTCAATGCTTGAGGTAGCATCACGGTACTCTCTGTCCACAAAACTTGAGATAAAAACATGGGAAGACTTCCCCTTTAACATCAAATTCTGAAGCACAAAAAAAATACGTATTTACTATGAGGATTGTCAAGAGAGACCGAGGAGAGAAGATTATCAAATGTATTTTTACCGTTACTGCCATTCTTATGCAAGTTAATTCAAATCCTCAATATTATTACATAATCATGGTAGCTAAATGACATATTTCCATTGAGTTAAATAACATTAACATGGGGGCCTCCTGAGTGGCGCAGCGGTCTAAGGCACTGCATCGCAGGGTCGTGTTTCGGAGGACGCATGGCTCTCGACCTTCGCCTCTCCCGAGTCCGTACGGGAGTTGCAGCGATGGGACAAGACTGTAACTACCAATTGGGTAGAAAAAGGGGTAAAAAGTACTAAGTAAATAAAAAATTAACATTGAGAGGGTGGGTAAGGGAGATTAAAGACAGAAAATAAGAATGGGAGAGCTGAGGGACAAGGCAGTCAGCCCCCTCATGGACTTGCACTAAAAGAGCCAACATTTTGTGGAAAGAGGCTTTATGGGAGAGAGAGAGTTTGATTCAGCTCCTCGTGGACAATAGCTACTCTCTCCTCCTTTATAGAGAACGGACCAATGCTGTGGCCCGATTTGCAGTCCATTGCAAAGAAGCAATTTGACACAGTGCAGTAGAAGCGGTCACAAGTAAGGGAACAGAAAGAAGTCCTTGACACAAGCAGAATCACTTTGGCACCAAAATGTGAGGAAAAAGTGTGCTTTCTAGTAAACTAATTTTTAAAAAAGTACATGCAATAAGGTATTCTGTGAGTTAAAACTGAAAATGTGGGTTCAGTGAAAAATAATAACGGTGTGTGGTCCTCAATCCATTCTTCAGTAAACCCGTTAGGCACACTGTGGCATTAGCCATCATCTAGCTTCATTCAATTTGACTTTTTGCACTGACGGACTAAAGATCAGAATTGGGCTTCTTGTGTGAACGTAGCCTTAGTTGCCTTTCTGAAACAGTTTCCAATACACTGACTGAGCCAGTTCATGTGGTTATACTGTGATACACTGTTATGACATCAATACATGTTCTGTTTGATCCTGGACTAGTTCGTCATAAGACAATTACAGTACCTGAGACAAGAGCCAGATAGAGATACTGAGATGGCTAGTCGGCACGTGACTGCTTCTGTCCCACTACAACCAGTCAACTACGCAAACAAGGAGGAGACTGATGGAGTAGAGCTGGTTTCTCCAGTTCAGATAAACTTATCATACCTGCAATATCTCCAGGTAAAAAAGCTGATCCAGAGATCTTTGTTCTCTGAGGCTTTTGATTGATATCATTGGACATTACATTTTCTTTGAGCAACAATGATATGGGAGAGTCAGTTTATCGCTGTTGCCAAGACCTGTGTTTGATTGTGTCTAGGCCATCTAATGAGGATTTAAAATCTCTCTGGAGACAAGACATGAGGACACTGAGTCATTCTGCCGGGGAGGGGGTGGGTAGCGAGGGGGAGGTAGTGAGAAGAGGGTAGTGAGGGGGAGGTAGTGAGAAGAGGGTAGTGAGGGGGAGGTAGTGAGAAGAGGGTAGTGAGGGGGAGGTAGTGAGAAGAGGGTAGTGAGGGGGAGGTAGTGAGGAACAGCAGTAGCCCCTAGGATCGTCACTAGTTACCACAGTCATAATTATCGTTAAACTCAGCTTATTTCTACAATTTATCTTCTTATAATCTGTTTTTAAACCTTAACCACACTGCTAACCTTATGACTAACCCCAACCTTAAATGAAGACCAAAAAGCAAAAACAAAATCTCTCCACGAATTCTTACAATATAGCCAATTTGGACTTTGTGGCTGTGGTAACGAGTGCAAGCTAAGGATGGACAGACAAATTAAATTTTATTTGTCACATGCGCCGAATACAACAGGTGTAGACCTTACCGTGAAATGCTTACTTACAAGCCCGTAACCAACAATGCAGTTAAGAAAATATTTACTAAATAAAGTTTAAAAAGTAACACAATAAAATAACAATAACGAGGCTATATATATATATGAGGGTACCGGTACCGAGTCAATGTGCGGGTAGCCAATGCAAATAGTCCGGGTAGCCATTTGATTAAATGTTCAGCAGTCTTATGGCTTGGGGGTAGAAGCTGTTAAGGAGCCTTTTGGACCAAGACTTGGCGCTCCGGTTTCGCTTGCCGTGCGGTAGCAGAGAAAACAGTCTATGACTTGGGTGAATGCAGTCTTTGACAATTTTTTGCCCCTTCCTCTGACACCGCCTAGTATATAGGTTCTGGATGGCAGGAAGCTTGGCAGCAGTGACATACTGGGCCGTACGCACTACCCTCTGTAGCGCCTTATGGTCGGATGCCGAGCAGTTGCCATACCAGGCGCTGATGCAACTGGTCAGGATGCTCTCGATGGTGCAGCTGTAGAACCTTTTGAGGATCTGAGGACCCATGCCAAATCTTCTCAGTCTCCTGAGGGGGAATAGGCATTGTCGTGCTCTCTTCACGACTGTCTTGGTGTGTTTGGACCATGATAGTTTGTTAGTGATGTGGACACCAAGGAACTTGAAGCGCTCGACCCGCTCCACTACAGGCCCATCAATGTGAATGGGGGCGTGTTCGGCCCTCCTTTTCCTGTAGTCCACGATCAGCTCCTTTGTCTTGCTCATGTTGAGGGAGAGGTGGTTGTCATGGCACCACACTGCCAGGTCTCTGACCTCCTCCCTATACACAGACCCAACTTCAGCAAACTATGCTGATGGTGCCATTTTGATATCTTAAAAATCATCACCACCCTAATATAGGTGTCGTACAACAAGAGATTGAATAAATCCATCTTAGTATAAGGAGAGACACTTTTGGGGGTTGTCATATAGGAGTCCTGTGGCTTTAACTGCAATTGAAAGCTCAATTGTCATTAAACCATGGAAGCTAGACCACTGCGGCAACGAGAGCACCGAGTCGCTGTGGTGGCAGTGAAAAACGAGTTGGGTACAAGTAGTGTCGTGGCCCTTGCAAGTAGAAGCACACACACACACACACACGGTCAGTGACTTAAAGGAATTCTATCCATCCAGTGAGCCAGGGTGAAGTGTGTTTACTGTAAGGAAGATGGACATAGAACAGGAATGCAGCAACAGCATAAGACTATGCAAACCAAGTGAACCTACTTCCCTAATCTCTCTGAGGACCCCTCCATGTGCCTATATGGATTCAATCCCAACGCTGGCTCTTCCCTATACCACATTGTCTCGTGTGTGGACCAGTTGCCTCTTCCCATTGGGCTCATGGGATTTGAAGTGTTTTCATAATACAACACCAAAATCAATACAAGTGCTCCAGCGGTTCCACATCGCTCAATGAATTACAATCCTGGGGGTTTATGCATGAGCTCTGTGAGAAGCTGTATTTGTTTTGCCTTCATTAGAACGCAAATCAGCCCTGTTCTTGGTAAACATAATATTTTGTTTTATCTTCTAAGTCAAGCAGACATCTAAAGTCTACAAGAGTCTCTTCCTCTCTCTGGATGTGACCAAGATGTGAAATCCATGTCCTAATGGGCATTTCCAATAATGTGATGGCAGGTGCATATCAGAATGACTTGTGTAGAAAATAAACAGTTGCTGGCCTGGCTCCAAGAAGAATATCTCGGAGCCTGTGAGTGAATTTTTTTAAAATAGCTTGTGGGCTTTGTTGAGAGCTTGGGCACGCCGTCAAACCAAAGTGTAGGAGTCAATGGCCATATCTAAAATACTAAATGTGTCTGCAAATAGATTTAATCTGTTTTTAAGCACTCAAGAAACTTTCAATAGCCAATGTAGGCCTCTAATATTTACTATATTAAACATCCATCATTCATTCAATTTCTGTGGGAGCAAAGGATGGCGTGGGAGCAAAGGATGGCGTGGCCACCTGCACTCAGCCCTGTCACAACAAATGAAGTTATATGAAGATAAAAGTGCAACTCCCCCTCATAACTTTTAGGCTTATTTGTATTCAATAATTTTGGAAAAAGCTATGAGTTGAGGTTCTTCTGATATGTTATTTGCATACATGGGTTAAATGGGCAATCTGCAGTAGCTACACCCATTTTTGGACTAATAAATTATCCTTGAAGTATTTAATTTATAAATGCCTCATGAGCTTAGTTCAACTGTCGAACCCCATCAGAACCCAAAATATAAAATTGTTTTACTCAAATGTTTGTAAAGAAAGGAATGTAAACAAACATTGTACAGCCTTAAAACAATATTACAACAATAATGTTGATATCATGGCGGGTCAGTCCTTGCATCCATAGCCGTCTATGAATTTGAGAGTGGTTACATGTCTCCAGCCCCCTCACTCAGCTTTTTAACATTACAGTGGCTGGGTATCTATATTTTGTTGTTGTTTCAACTACCGATTGACGCTTTAAATTTGCTTCAAGTTGGGTTTAATTGTTTACCCTCGCCTGGCTGGCAGTGGGACGCAAAACTTAAAAATAAAACAGGTGCATGTGATTTAATTGGCTACTCTGAAAGGTGTTCTCTGTAACCGTGCGTTTATTTGCGATCACTCACCTTCTGTTGCCTGCGTGCCATATCCGTGGGTTGTTTGGCATTGAAAGGGTATGCTATACATCGCAACACAAATACATAAATCTGTAGTTTACTTTTCCTCTCAGCTTCCTCTTTCTGAAGTCTTTCCTTCTCATTTTTCTGCTCGTCTCCGGCAGAAGGACTTTCGGCTTGTGGTTGGTCCGCAGGTGGTCGTTTATGTTTACCTCCTTGCCCCGAGGAAGTCGAAGGCTTTTTGGGGGGATCTTTTGGAACTTCAGTGTCTTCGTCAATTTCTCCCCCCGAGTCTTCGCTGGAGGACGGGTCCAACATGTTTTACAACAACACCGGTAAACTCATTTTCCCCGCACTGTAGCCTACGTGGCGGTCGCCGCTTCACTTGAATTGTCTATATTCCCCGTTTTTATTTTTTTTGCTGTGACGACGACTCGAGTTAAATGTTTCTTGACATAAATGCGAGGGCGGAGTTTTGAGGAACGTGAGTCGGGGCAACTCGGAGGTTTTCGTTTAGTCCTCTCCTTTTGAAAGACCTTGCGAACTGTGTGGCTGCCGATACAGTCAGAGCAAGGAGTACAGGTGGACAACCTGTAGCATGGACAGCAAGCAACACGTGGGAGGTGCCTTTCTTTCTCTTAAAGCCACACTCAAAGGGTCGCCACCAAAACTGTAAACAATTGCGCAAATGTGCATCCCATAACATTTAAAAACACTTGATGGAATGACATTCCATAGTACTATAGGCTATATTTGCTGGAAACCCGACGTTGAATTGCATTTCATTTTATGTCTGGCAGAAATTAGTGTTCAAATGACCATGCAGTTGGTCCTTTTGTCAGTAGGAATGTGAGACAACATCCACAGGAAATTACATCAACTTTTCAAAACACTGTTCAAATTTCTATCACCTGAAGTATGTGCAGAACCATGTAAACGTGTGCACGATCTCGGCAGATCCCATGCTTCAGGTGAAAGAAATGACTGCATTACCAGCACTTTGAAAAGTTGATGTAATTATACTTTCCTGTGGATGTCTCACATTCCTACAGCCAAAAAGATCAACGGCACGGACAACCGGTAAAGGACATTAAAATAATTTTATTCAACATTCTGGCTTGTAGAGGTTGTGAGAGGAAACTTTCCTGACTCACACGCAAATGTTGCCCTACTTTAGAATTAAATGTAATTCAATGTCTCGTTTCCAGGCAAAGGCTATATATGATATAGCCTAGGGTCTGCCTAAGACAGTTTACATTACGTTGGCCATTGAACTTAAAGCTAGAATCCTTAGTTGTTACATCCATTTTGTTAACTTAAATGAGCATTTTACAACTTGATGTTAGATGGTTCCTCACCTTGAAAGTAGTCTGTTGGCCCCAGTGGAGGCTGCTGAGGGGAGAACAGCTCATAATAATGGCTGGAATGGCATCAAACACATGGAAACCATGTATTTGATACCATTCCACTCCAGCCATTACCATGAGCCCATCCTCCCCAATTAAGGCGCCCCCAACCTCCTCTGATGATCCAAGAGAAACTGTAATCATGGTTCGGTTTTCTTTAACTGCCACTACAAAATTCAGCTAACCTTAGCCACCAAAAGCTAACAAGTGATGAGCATGTTAAAAAAAATAATGTCCAAATCACCTGAAACCAATTAAAATCAACTCCATATTTGGTTTGATGTTAATTAAACCTGATTTGGCTATTCAAAATAAAACATGCTCACATGCCCCCATCACTTCCATTGTGATGGGGTGGCTAGTTAGCTGAAGTTTGTAGTAGCTGTTTAAAGAACTGAACCATGGATTACAGTTCATCCTGGCCCGTAGGCTACTTTCATGGCGAGGAACCATGTAACATAAAGTTGTAAAATAGTGAACTACTCCTTTAATGATATATTGATTCTTGAAGAATATAACTTATAAATGCCTCCATGAGGTTAGTTCAACTGTCGTACCCCATCAGAACCCAAAATACACTGTGTACAAAACATAAGGAACACCTTCTCTTTCCATGACAGGCTGAGCAGGTGAATCCTATGATCCCTTATTGATGTCACCTATTAAGTCCACTTCAGTCAGTGTAGATGAAGGGGAGGAGACAAGTTAAAGAAGGACTTTTAAGCATTGAGACATGGATTGTGTATATGTGCCATTCAGAGGTTGAATGGGCAAGACAAAAGATTTGTGCCTTTGAACTGGGTATGGTAGTAGGTGCCTGGCGCACCGGTTTGAGTGTGTCAAGAACTGCAACGCTGCAGAGTTTCTCACGCTCAACCGTTTTCCGTGTGTATCAAGAATGGTCCACCACCCAAAGGACATCCAGCCAACTTGACACAACTGTGGGAAGCATTGGAGTGAACATGGGCCAGCATCCCTGTGGAACCCTTGTAGAGTCCATGCCCCGATGAATTGAGGCTGTTCTGAGGGCAAAAAGGGGTGCAACTCAATATTAGGAAGGTGTTTCTAATGTTTTGTACACTTTGTATAAGCCTGTTTTACGCCAATGTTTGTGAACAAGGTTAATATAAACAAACACTGTATAGCCTCAAAACATGGTTACAATTATACATGTGATATCATGGATGGTTAGTCCTTGTATCCATAGCTCTGTCTAGGAATTTGAGTGATTACTTTTCTCCATCCCCATCCCTTAGCTTTTTAGCGAAACGGCGGGGAGAACGCTTGAAGATTATATATTGAACAAAAATATAAACGCAACATGCAACAATTTCAAAGATTTTACTGAGTTACAGTTCCTAAGGAAATCAGTCAATTTAAATAAATTCATTAGGCCCTAATCAATGGATTTCACATGACTGGGAATACAGATATGCCTCTGTTGGTCACAGATACCTTAAAAAAAAATGGGCCTCAGGATCTAGTCAGGGTATCTCTGTGAATTCAAATTGCCATCGATAAAATGCAATTGTGTTCATTGTCCGTAGCTTACGCCTGCCCATACCATAACCCCACTGCCACCACGGGGCACTCTGTTCACAACGTTGACATCAGCAAACCACTCACCCACATGATGCCATACACGTGGTCTGCAGTTGTGAGGCCGGTTGGGCGTACTGCCAAAGTCTCTAAAATGACGTTGGAGGCGGCTTATGGTAGAGAAATTAACATTCAATTCTCTGGCAACAGCTCTGGTGGACAGTCCTGCAGTCAGCATGCCAATTGCACGCTCCCTCAACTTGAGACATCTGTGGCATTGTTGTGTGACAAAACTGCACATTTTAGTGGCCTTTTATTGTCCACAGCACAAGGTGCACCTGTGTAATGCTCATGCTGTTTAATCAGCTTCTTGATATGTCACACCTGTCAGGTGGATGGATTATCTTGGCAATGGAGAAATGCTCACTAACAGGGATCTAAACAAATGTGTGCACGATTTGAGAGAAATAAGCTTTTTGTGCATATGGTACATTTCTGGGATCTTTTATTTCAGCTCATGAAACATGGGACCAACACTTTACATGTTGCATTTTATATTTTTGTTCAGTGTAGCTGAGAGATGTGAAAGATTGACAATTTAGTGAGATTGTCTGAAAGGAGTCTTGTATAAAATCTTATGTAAATTCATGAGCACCACTTTATCAAATTAGTTCTACTCTAGTTAGTAGGGGGCCACTTCAACCATAGCCAATAGCTGCTGATTAGAACATGAAGCAAGTTGAAACTCCAGCAATTTTCATCATTTCACTTTTTCTGCCTCCCCACGACCAACATTCATTTACTTCTAGACAATATCTTATCCTTAATTTCTGGAGAAATGTAGGGCAATAAGGATCTCCTATAACAAGTAGTAGGCTACCCTTGATCCTCTCAAGCTTAATTTCAGCACAATCATCAGCAATGTTACGGTGATGTCATTATGCCAATGAACTCTAATACTATGTCAACGCTCTAGTTTGAAGCTGTCTTACAAAAAACATAATCGTCAAAGATATTTCATTGTCATAAGAGAGTGATGGCCTATGCATTGAATGAATATTAACCTATCAGAAAAATAGTGAATTAAAGATGCACTATGCAGAAATCGATCTCTGACATTTCCTGGTTGCTAAAATTCTAATTTCAGTTTATGTGACAAAACAAGCAGTCATTGTAAAAACGAAACTTCAGAACGGGAAGCATAGAAATAGCACACATAGAACAGATTTACCACTTCTTAGACTTGCTTTCAATGAGAATGAAAGATCTTTAACTCACATTTCTATGTGAATTTGGTCGGGTCGCCCCAAAAGTTACATATTGTAGCTTTAACAATTGTTTTGATTTTGCATGTTAACCTATAGTTGTAGCCTGACATAACAGCGAAAACAGTTCCTACTGTGATGGGGCATGGAGTGGAGAGAGGTGGTCATGCATGAGAAATAAGTCGATACACTCCTAACGAAGTCTGCCCTGCTGTTGCCACGGTTACATCAGTGTCACAACCTCAGCTGAGCGCTGCACGAGTTAGGACATGTCCAACCTCACTGAGCGCTTGCGATAGTGAGGCCCTTCAGATATGCAGCACTCTAACCCTAGCTGAGATTCCATATGGCTAGTTTTGCAGCATGTTTTTGTAAAAACACATAATGCTAGGTTACATCAAATTAGGATGTGTTAACACACATTAAGCAGTAGGCTACCTCTATAGCCAAATGGTGTGTGCGTGCCTGCGTGCATAGATTTATTTGTGTGGGTGGGTACTTGGCTATGTCAGAGATGATCAGATGGCTCTAATGTTTTGATGAAACATTTTGTGGTATTAGGACACTAGGATCATGAGGTATTATTGCCTATTAGAATTCTCAAACCTTTGAAAATATGTATAACCCATAGCACAGTAGCCCTGAACAGAATCAGATTATTAAATGACAGGTTTTGAGTGAAATAACATCTTTCCTTCATGGAAACAGACTTGGTTGTACTGCACCAAATGACATTATGTGACACTGCAGCCACTAGATGGGGTTCTACCTCTGTGACCATGAGTTTGACATTCCCATAATGTGGGCTGGAACAATAATTGTGCATTACCTCAGTCAAATGATGAACCAAGATGTTATGTTTTATTAAATTCAATAAATTCTGACCTTCGACGAGGAAGCTAAAGTAAGTGCCCAAACATACCTCAGAAAATATGCTTTTTGCAAGCTGTTTCATTTCAAACATTTCAAAGACATATCAGCCCACGTCCCACCTATCCAAATGCAGCACCTATCGATTATGTTTCAGGTAAGCAAACATTGTTGGCTATAAGAATAGTCACACTATATATCTCTCGCTATTTATTTATTTATTTATTTATTTATGTAT